GTCAGGGGACAAGGAACGGGGGGAGGGTTGGGGGTTCTGGGGGGGCGGGAAGTGGGAGGGGCAGGGGCGGGGCTAGGGCGGGGCTCCTCCCGTCCTCTTTTTTTTCTTGCTGAAATATGGTAACCCTACTTAACTTCTTAATGCAAGACTGGGAAACTTGTGCGTTACCTCTCCTTTTTATCCTTGAGGGCAGCAATAGAGAGGTAGAGTGTGAGCTAGGGTCCCCGGTGCAATTGCTACCCAATGCAGAATATAAATGCTGCCCTTGGAACATTCCAAGCCAGTTCCTTCTTGACAACAGTTATAAAAGGAACTCCCTGTTGGAGGCAGCACCTGACTGTCCATTGCTCCAGTTCTAGACTGGTTTCCAGTAACATATCAGGTATTTATCTTCATATTTCCTCTCTGCTTTCCTGTCAAATCTGCTCTGTTAGCTATATTTTTGAGGTCTTTGCTTTGGGTACTTTGGTGACTCAGCACTTTGGCACCTGCTTTCTGATACTCTGCACTACTTCGGCACTCCAGCGCTAGTCATCTTGGCCCAAGCATCCTTGCTGTGGTGCTAGCAGTGTTCTAAGATTAGTTCTCAGGACAAATTTTTGGTGGCCTCAGGGAGGGACGGCTACTTTGTGAGAGGAGGGAATTGGATGGTATTTGAGGGAAATCAGGAGAGTAACTCTTCAGCTGTTCTTGGGCTTGCATGCAGCCAGCTTGATAAGTGACAGAGCTAGTGTGCTCTGAGTTGTTACAGCTGTCTCTGAAGCCAGACAGGAGCATTCAGAAGCATTAGGAGGCCCATCACTGGTGTAGTTGCTGCATTAGCTCTTAACTAATGGAATCTGATATAGTGGTAGTTAACACATTGGTTAGCTTTTCAATCCAGATGATGGTGTGTACCGTTGATACAGTTGCTGTGAATGCATAATATGATACATACATGGCAGAGGGTCTAAAGAATAGTTATATCGAATTACTGTTGTGTCGATCATGAAGTTACTTCATCCTGAAGACTAACTCCCATGGATTATGTCCCTCCCAGGGAAAGGATGGGCAGGACAAAGATATGGGGCTGTTGCACATGGGAGATGGGGAGCTCATGTTACAAGAACTCTTCTTTGCTAGAGATGATATGTATCTCTGCTGCATTGATTATTTCTAGGGACTCTGTGTAGCCTGATGATTCTGTTTATTGCATGGCAGGCCAATATCTGTACCCTGCTATAGCCTGCATGGTTTGGAAGGCTGTTTGATCTTTAGAGTGTTTTAAAGCAGTGGTTCTCAAACAGGGGTACTCATATCCTAGGGGGTACACAGAGGTCTTCCAGTGGGTATATCAGTTCATCTAGATATTTGCGTACTTGCATTTCAGTATACAGAGCAGTATAAACAAGTCATTGTCTGTATGAAATTTTAGTTTATTCTGACTTTGCTAATGCTTTTTATGTAGTCTGTTGTGCAAGTACAATATTTATATTCCAGTTGATTTATTTTAGAATTATATGGTAAAAATGAGAAAGTAAGCAATTTTTCAATAATAGTGTGCTGTGGCACTTGTATTTTTATGTCTGATTTTGTAAGCAAGTAGTTTTTAAGTGAGGTGAAATTTGGGGAACATGTCAGACTCCTGAAAGGGGTACAGTTGTCTGGAAAGGTTGAGAGTCACTGTTTTAAAGGTAGAATGTTTAGCTGAAATTGACAGTTATGTTTGCTTTCTTTGGTTGCTTTCATGATTTTTGTGCTTATAGACATATGAAGCAGCTGCAAAGGTAGAGCGGGAAGCATACAAAGAAGAACTGGCCAAATACAAAGCACAGTTAAGTCCAGCCCAGATAGTAGCTTTGAAAGAAGAAAGGAGACAAAAACGGGCAAAAAGAAAAGCAATGAGGAAAAAGAGGGTAAGTACTCAAAATGTGATTTCATTTTCCCTTTTAAGGTAACTTAAATGTATTAATCTGGTTGTTTCAAATGGTTATTAAACATGATTACAATGCAAGGCTAGAAATCATGTTTTAAAGGAATGCTGTCAGGTTAAAAATCATACTTAAATCATTACTGATGTTTCCTGTAATACTTTAGTTTATTAATTGATTACTTTATTTAATTTGCTTCTCACTATGCTATACTTTTTTCCATTTCACTTAACTGAGACTGTGAAAATAGACCAGCCAGTTTCACCTTCTGGTGCATGAGAATCAGCACAGTCCTGCAGTATTTGGTTGCGTATGTTGCAAAGCCAATTATTAACCCTTATTTGCCACAGCCTGAAATAGTCCCCTCTGCCAAGGTAAAGATGGCAGATAATTTCAGCAAAAAGAACAAGTAATAGTGACTAGGTAGCAAGTGCTCCACTCCAGTTATTTCCCATATGGACAGTGTCCTGGAAGAGGCCTGTCAGGAGGGAGCAACAACACCAGAGGTCTCCAAGTGGAGGAGGTGTCCTGGAAATAGCTTTTCATGAGGATTCAGTCCACCAGCCCCCGAATTTCTCAGCTCCAGGATGTTATCCAGTTGACTAAGCCTCCCCAAAACCATTGTAGCCACCAACACCTATACTAGACTGGGTAGTAAGGTTGGCACTTCACATGTCCTTTGTATCAGAGTAAGAACTCCAGAATTAAGAAATGTAAATATTCTCCTTCCACTCCTTCTGTGATGGGTTCACCCTGGGGTGCCACCCGGAACTTGAGTACCACCGAGCCCCCTAACCCACCAGCCTGGGCTCCTTCTCACACTGTACTGCTGTGACAAGCTGCAAAGCCCTCCAGCCTACACTTTCACCAGCATTCATACAGGTAAGGGACACACCCAGCTGCAGTTACACGCAGACTCTCTAACCATCAGCTTCCCAGCTTGGGACCCCAGAGCAGTACCATCCTGCCCTGGTCAAATCTGGTCAGTATATGGGTTTAATATGCAGTTCGTCTCTCCCTCAATGTGAAGAGAACAATGCACACTTGTGGTAACCAAGCAGAGATATTCCCCAAGCATTCCAGTCAAAGCTCACTGGTTTAGATTAAAATAAAAACAAGTTTATTAACTACAAATGGTTATTCGATTTATTAGGTTATTTGATTTTAAGTGATTATAAGGGATAGCAACAGATCAAATCAGATTATCTAGCAAATAAACAAAAAACCCACACTAAGCTTAATATACTAGATAGATTGGATATGAATTAGCAGATTATCACCCTAAGAGATGATACAAGCAGGCTGCAGATCCTTAAGGGGCAAGATGCACTTGCTTTACAGCTTGGAATCCCCAGGTGTTTCATACACAGGCTAGAAATCCCTTTAGTCCAGCACTTCCCCCAGTTCAGTCTTTGTTCCTCAGGTATTTCCAGGAGTCTTCTTGTGTGGGGAGTGAACAACCACAGATGATACTCCCTGCCTTATATAGTTTTAGCATATGGCAGGATCCCTTTGTTTCAAAACTTGGTTCCCAGGCCAGTTTGTGGAAAAATACTGACATCCCAAGATGGAATCCAGAATCATGTGACCTGGTTATGTGTCCTTGTAGAGTCATAGCAGCCATTACTTACAGGCTGTTAGGAGTGTTCTCAGTAAGGCTCACCAGGTGGGAGATAAGCTTCTCTGAGGGCTTGTTGTTTTCTCTAATGGCTTATTGCCCTGAATAGGCCCTTCCCAATCAGCTATCTAGACTGAAAGCATCTTGTCTAGTGGGCATCGCCCAGGTGTAGCTACATTTTAAAATACAGATACGTAGTCAATATTCATAACTTCAGATACAAAAAGATACATGCATACAAATAGGAATAACATATTCAGCAATTCATAACTTTTCCAATGACACCTCACATGACTTATCTTGCATAAAATATATCCTAATTATGCTATAATCATATCATATAATAATATTACTATGAAGAATATCGGGTGCAGTGTCATACCTTCATCTTCCCCTGAAGAAGAGGAACTTTTGGATTTAAAACTATAGGTAATGGAAGAAACAACTCAGGAAAAGCTCTTTAAAGCAGACTGTTTTGATCTAATGCTTTGCAATGTAGTTACCTCTCAATATGAGTCCAATGAGTGCAGGAAAATGCTGATCGGGGTAAAGTGAAACTACAAAACAACTTCTCCATTGTCCTAAAGAAGGAGCTGTCTATCTTTCTCTAATCAATGCTTGAAAATATCATAAAATCACAATTGGCACAATCCAACAAATGGAGGTTCCCAGGCAAGGCCAGAAATTTTATACTCTGTTTAGTATCAAAGGCAAATTGTTAACCTACTTAAGATAGATGTGGCAGGAGCCTTACTAATAAATTAACCACTCATTTTTGTTCAAGGAGTCCACTGATAGCGAAATAAAAATGACCTTTAGAAGAAACTGAGATGTTTAGTGCAGCCCTCCACACTTCAGTTCATGTAGCTAGTCATGATCCTTTCCTCCAATAGGCTCAAATGTAGCCTATTGTCTCAATCTGGGTTAAAATATGAATCGGTTCACAAGTGAAGACTAGTTTAGTTTGGTGTTAGTGTAAACCTTAATTGTCTTATGTCCACAGTGTAATGCAATTTTGCATAAGAAATTGATCTTTTTGTAAAATGCTGCTTTTTTTTAGTAAGTGTAAAATGGTCAATAAAAAGCTAATGGTATAATCAGCTTTACTAAAATGAATTGAAACAAACTATAAATGTATATAATCAGTGAGTTGACTCATTCACAGAAAAATAACTTCTGCCTTCTTACAATTTTTTAGGAATCAACAGTGCTTGGAAAGCCTAAAAGACCTCGTACTGGCTTTAACATTTTTATGTCTGAACACTTCCAAGAAGCTAAGGGAATTTCAGTTCAGGTAAACAAGACAAAATTGGTTAACTTTAGATTTCTTCATTGTTAAAACAACTATCTTCCAAATTTGTTGCATTCAGAAAATTTGTTCTAGCTTCTGTTATGGGTAACAATTCAAACAGTTCAGTGTTTCTGGATCTTTCTTTGCTAGGCAGAAGTGGGAATTTTTAGGGCATGGTTGAACGCTTGCTGCTAATTGCTTGCTATCCAAACTGAGCCACTCAATGGACACAGGGACTTAATAAATCAGAAAGTCTTGCAGTACTGTACACTCTGAAGACTTACTCCCTCTTATTCAGTTACTGGAGAATTCCATTTTTCCCTGCTTCTTTCTAAGGCCTGGTCCACACTAACCCCCCATTTCGAACTAAGGTACGCAAATTCAGCTACGTTAATAACGTAGCTGAATTCGAAGTACCTTAGTTCGAACTTACCGCGGGTCCAGACGCGGCAGGCAGACTCCCCCGTCGATGCCGCGTACTCCTCTCGCCGAGCTGGAGTACTGGCATCGACGGCGAGCACTTCCGGGATCGATTTATCGCGTCTAGACAAGACGCAATAAATCGATCCCAGAAGTTCGATTGCTTACCGCCGGGTCCGGCGGTAAGTGTAGACCTACCCTTAGGTCTAAACACAGGGTTGCATCACTTTAATGAAGACCTTGTCTGCACAAGAAATTTGCACCAATTTAACTTCAGGTGTGAATTTAAACTGATTGGAGTAAGTCATGTGTGGACATGACGACTTTGGTTAAGTATGGCTTATTTTTGGATGAGCTTCAGCCTGTTCCAAATTGACTTAAACTATAAATAAGCCATGTAGAAGGTTGCCCCAGTTTAACCAAATCAGCACTTGTCTATACAGTGAGGTAATGCATTTTACTGGGTGTGATTTCTAAAGCATGCTAATGTGTTGATTGATCTATGTAGATCCTGCTAGTGTGCCATAAAGGTTCCCTAGTAAACTTTAACATACATGTTTCAAACAGCATTATGTGAAAGCACACCAGCAGGATCTACAAATGCAAAACATAATTAAAATAGATTCAAATCATGATAAAGTTGATCTGACTGGATAGAAAACTATATTTAACCCATGCTTAGTATCAAGGCCACTAATTTCCTAGCTGAGTGGAAGGAACTCTTTGATATCCTGCAGTTACATTTGATTATATGGAGAGGGTCAGCGAGTGATGCAAGGCATTTTTCGCTGAGGTGATCCATTCATATAATCAACCAGCTTATTTCCCTAGAACTAAGATGATCAGGAATAGTAAGTGTAAACTGTATGTCTCGTGAAGGTATAGGTCAGTGGCTCTCAATCTTTCCAGACTACTGTATCCCTTTCAGGAGTCTGATTTGTCTTGTGAACCCCCAAGTTTCACCTCACTTAAAAACTAACTAGATGGGCAACAACAGAAATATATAGATGATCCCCTTGGCAGACTACCCATAAGTCTGCCCATTTATGCTTGAACTAGTTAATTGGTTTTTGTTTCACTTTTGCATTGGAGCAGACTTTTAGTGATGGGGAAGTATCCACCTACGCTTGGGGGATTGCACCAATGCAGCTACATCAGCAGCTGGCCACTGATAGCTGTAATTTAGGCCATTTGGCTACTCTGTCTCTCTCCAGAGTAGACAAGGCCTAAGGCACTCAAGTGTTAAAAGTCAGACTATCACCTATGAGTGGTGTATTCATTCCACCTTGTTTAGTCTCCTCTTCTTGCTCTCTGCTTACCTTCCTTGTACCCTCAATTCTCCATCTGTTTTCTAACATCTGCCTACCTTCCAATTCAGCAAACACCTTCATCTTCTATCCTTACTTTCCCCCCTAACCAATTTTATTCCTAGCTAGCTTCCTCATATTTAGCCCTTCCCTTTTGTGTGTTTTCCCATGTTTGCTCCCCCTAGCTCTAGTCACCTTTCTGTGACATTCTGGGTGCCCATGAGCAAGTCAATTCACCTCTATTTCTCCATCTGTAAAAAGGTCAAAATTACCAGTCCCAGTTTACCTATTTCATGAAGACTTTGACAGTATTTATAAAGTTCAAATCATATTTACAAACAGAGTGAAATTAATCAAGATGTCTAATTTGTAAAGTACATGCAGATAGCACTTCAGAGATTTGTGAGTGCTGGTATTCTGTACTGGTACATACTGTCCCATCTCAAGCAGTGCACAACTTTCCATTTTAAGAGCACGAAGAATGGTGGTTTTTACTGGAATCAAAGGTATTTAGCTGTCAACTAATTTTGCTTTAGGAGGACTTTAGTCCCTTTTAGCTTATACGCTTGAGAATCTCATGATCCAAATTTTTTACATGAGTTTGAGAGAGTTTGTATTTTGTAGGCAAAGATGAAGAATTTATTAGAAGAATGGCAAGATCTATCCAGTTCTCTAAAGCAGGTATGTGTCTAGCTTTTGGTGAGGCTCCAGTTCAGCTAAGTGTTATCCAACTACAGAATGACAGTTTAGTCATTCTGACTCCAGAACATGCTTGTAAATTCCAGTTATACCGACCTTTTATTATAGTTAAAGTGCGTTTTTTACTAAAGGATTTTATTTTAATTTATTTTATAAATTCTTGAACCCAATTACACTTCAAGCTGAAATGTCTCATATTGATTCTTAACACAACAGTGACCACTTTTTAAAAAATATTGATAACATTTCATTAAGCAGTGGAATGGGTGGGTGTTGTTGGGGAGGAATATTGATTCCTGAGTATGAAAGGAAAAAACAGTTAAATTTTTCAAATTAACTTCTTGCTTTCATAAATGAAATTAGATCTTTTTAAAAACTTCAAACTAGTAATGGATTTGGTTCTCATGGGGAATGAGATCTTTTGCTATGTTTAATAGAAATTTTAAAAATAACCGTTACATGCATGGGAAAAATCTTACTTCATGTGGCTTTTTTTACTGTCTTTAACAGTGCACTGAGGTATGATGCTCCAGATCTGTATATAAGAATATTTGAAGCATTCCACATTAAAATAGTATAAAAACTAGGGCTGTTGATTAATTGCAGTTAACTCACGTGATTTAAGTAAAAAAAAAAATTAATCACGATTTAAAAAAAACCCACAATTAATCGCAGTTTCAATTGCACTGTTAAACAATGGAATACCAGTTGACATTTATTAAATATTTTGTATGTTTTTCTACATTTTCATATATATTTTATTCTGTGATGTAATTGAAATCAAAGTGTATAATTTTGATTACAAATATTTGCACTGTAAAACTGATTTTAAAAAAAATAGTATTTTTTAGTTCACCTCAGACAAATAGTGTAGTGCAATCTCTGTTGTGGAAGTGCTACTTACAAATTTAGATTTTTGTTGTTTTACATATCTGAACTCAATAATAAAACAATGTCAAACTTCAGAGCCTACAAGTCCACTCAGTCCTACTTCTTGTTCAGCCAAGCGCTAAGACAAACAAGTTTGTTTACATTTACAGGAGATAATGCTGCCCTCTTCTTATTTACAATGTCACCAGACAGTGAGAACAGGCCATTCGTATGGCACTTTTGTAGTCGGCATTGCAAGGTATTTACGTGCCAGATATGCCAAATATTCGTATACCCCTCTATGCTTCGGCCACCATTCCAGAGGACATGCATCCATGCTGATGATGCTCGTTTTAAAAAAAAAATGTGTTACTATTCTCCCCAAGGAGTTTAGTCACAAATTTAAGTATGCCCCTGCTCTGTTTTACCTGCATTCTGCCATATATTTCATGTTATAGCAGTCTCAGATGATGACCCAGCATATGTTGTTCATTTTTAGAACACTTTCACTGCAGATTTCACAAAACGCAAAGACGGTACCAATGTGAGATTTCGAAAGATAGCTATGGCACTCGACCCCAGGTTTAAAAATCTGAAGTGCCTTCCAAAATCTGTGAGGGATGGGGTGTGGAGCATGCTTTCCAAAGTCTTAAAAGAGCCACACTTCGATGCAGAAACTACAGAACCCGAACCACCAAAAAAGAAAATCAATCTTCTGCTCATGGCATGACTCAAATAATGAAAATGAACATGTCGGTCCATACTGCTTTGGGTTGTTATTGAGCAGAACCTATCATCAGCATGGACGCATGTCCCCTGGAATGGTGGTTGAAGCATGAAAGGACATATGAATCTTTAGTGCATCTGGCACATAAATACCTTGCAATGCCAGCTACAAAAGTGCTGTGTGAACAGCCTGTTCTCACTTTCAGGTGATATGGTAAACAAGCGGGCAGCATTGTTATCAGATTTGCCCATTACTTTGGGGTATGCTCATTTATTCGGGTTACTCTTCTGGGGAAGGAGATTCTGTAATTCTATCAATGTACTGCTTGTGTTTTCATATGGAGCTCTACTTCTCCCTTCTGCAAGTCCCCTCCCAGTGGAGCTATCCTGCAGGACCTAGGTTCCCTAGGACTGGGTTTCTCCAGCCCCAAAACCGGACGGACGGGCACGCACGCGCACATGCCCCTGGGCTCCATGGACTGGGTCAAGCAGCACTTTCAAGCTGTTACCCTTATGCCTCCCAGATTCAGCACGTTCCTATCCCCACTCTCACAACACAATTGTACTGGCAGTAACCTACTTGATGAGCAAACCCCACAGTATTTTGCGCGCTGCAGGGATCTTTAGCTTAGGTAAAAGAAGCGTTGCTGTAGAGTGAATGAGGGGAGATAAAAACACAAAAAAGTAAAGTTCAGCAAGAGAGAGAGAAGCAACCAACTTAACCATAAAAGTTATGTATTGAATAATAGTGATAACTACACAAGGATGGCTAAAACAACGTAACATACATTATTAAAGGTTAATACCTAAGGTAGAAAGGAAAACAGAGAGAGAAAGAGGGGGATCTCACCCATTCCATGAGGCTTGCACTGGTCGGGGTTCCCAGGTGATGGTGGTAGGGGAGGGTCCTGAATGCTGGAGACAGGCAGAGCCCCCAGCACGATCAGTCAGGAGAAGATGGAGTTCCAGTGGAACTGATGCATAGTTTGGATCTAAGCATCAGAACCCTGACTAGAGGGTGAGTAGGGATTTTTGTAGAGAAAATACAGTTGTTCAGGGGAGAACACTAGATTTGTTTATAGATAAGTTGAAGACTCAAAGGTTTTCTTTAGGCTAGACAATAGGAGCTGATCACTCTTGGCTATGGGTGGTGTTTTCTTCCAGGGAGCTCACAATGCAACTAGGCTGCTTCAGTATTTGGATATCAATTAAGG